CCCGCCGAGCAGGGAGCCCGATGAGGGACTCGATCCCAGGACCCTGGGATCATGACCTGAGCCGAAGGCAGACGCTTAACGACTGAGCCACCCAGGCACCCTACCCTTTGTTTCTTTAAGATGGAGTGGGAGATGCAAGACACCATGGGTGTGACCCTCTAGTGCAGTCCTGAAAAGATCAGCCAGGAATCGGATGTTGGGTCTCTAAGAAACAGAGAGCAGCAGTTGGGGGTGGAGAGAGGACCCAGGATTAACTTCTCAACCCCTTTATGAAATGCTGAGAAGAGCCAGCTTTGGACCAAGTAAATCCAAGTAGTTTCATAGATGCCAGTCTCACGAAAGTGGGTCTACGAGGCCTCTCTTGACACCATGTTTGCTTAAAATGCAAGTTGATAACATGTAAGAATGGGGCCTGGTGTCCACACCTGCTCTACCTCTGATGTTGGGGAGTAAGAGCAAGGGAGGGGCTCACGTCAGCCTCTGACAGAGCCTCAGGATCCCTGTTCCACCTGTTAATGATCTGGATGATTGCAACCTTTTCTTTTTCTTGTGTCTAGCAACCACGCAGTGAGTACTGCTGGGGAAATCACACCCCTGAGCCATATTTCTCTACCTTCTTCTCCATTATCACCCCCTTACAAAACCTAGAAGACACTGGTTTCTTCACTGCTTTCTGCCCCTACCGCTTGAAATGTTAGTACCTTAATAGACCTGTTTGCACATGTGATCCTTTGGAGGGCCACCAACCACTGCAATATCGGAGACGTTGCCCGGCCCGTGTGAGCATGCAGGGTCTACGCCCATGTCCTGGGTGCCTTTCCTGGATTTTATCTATCCCTCAGGGTCTTCCCTCATCACCCACACCCCTGTTCTCCTGGACCTCTGCCAGTCACCCGGCCCCAGCTATGGCCCTCTCTGTTGCCATCGCGGCCTCCTTTCTGGGAGGGCGCACCACACCCTGATCTGCACTCTGCCTCCATCCCTCTGCGGGACCTGCTCTCCATCCCACCACAAAGAGCGCCGTGTCCCCCGCACACGCTCTCAGCCAGCAACCCCGTGCGGAAGAACTCGGACAAGCACTTGCCCGGCAGATGGCAGAACTAAATGCAGTGCTTCACCACAACTGTTTCTACCCAGCTGAAGAGTTTCAAGGGCCAGGGATATCGAGTAAGACTGGTATGCCCGATCCTTAGTGGACCTAACTGAAGGACAATGGGACCTGTTTCTACCAACTGTGTAGCAGCCTTTCGAGGGACAAGCTTTCAACTTTTAATTAACATAAACACTATGAACACCCCCTCTTTAACCGTTAAAAATTTCTGATTTATCACTGTCCACAAACAGTTCAATGTGTGCCCCGGTGAATTCCTCTGCCTGACAAGTAAAGACAGCATTGTTGTTTTCAGTTTATTTTATTCTTGTTTTAGTGGGTTTTTTTTTTTTTTATTCTGGTGGTCTTTTATTCTTTGCATCTTTTTTTTGGACTCTAATCCACAGAAATAAAACCACCAAGTGCATAAGAATGTAAGTACAGGGGCGCCTGGGTGGCTCAGTCAGTCCCACTCCCCCTGCTTGTGTTCCTGTTCTCGCTGTCTCTCTCTGTCATATAAATAAAGAAAATCTTTAAAAAAAAAAAAAAGAATGTAAAAAGAATGTACTTGCCCTTCGTAGCATTCATCATATGAACATGGAGTACCACACAACTGTTTAAAAGAATACGTCAGATGAATCACTACTGAACTCCAGACGTTTCCATCAGCAACATCTCTTAAGTGAGAAAAGCGAGCTGCAGGAAAATGTATACAAAGATTTTTTTAAACAACCAAAACCAACCACTCCTAGAAGTGTATTCATGAGTGAAGAGGATTCTCTGAATGCACAGAAACTTGAGCAGACCCTTTGGGCTTACCGTGGGTGTACCTGCTAGGATTGGGGTAGCAGAAGTGGTGGGAAGGAAGGCAGCTAAAGGGTAAGAATGTGTCCGCTTTTTTTCTCTCTGAATGGACACAGCTCCCTGAGAGCAAACCACCTTTGACTCTTCTCTGAGCCTTGCCTTGAACGTCCCCCTCTCTGGCACCTTTCTGAGGTCCCACAAAGGCCCTTCCTTCCCTGCCACACACTCCCCATCTCCCACCCCAGCCTAATACTCCCTTGGTCTGCAGAAAAGGTGGATGAGGAGGAGGGGGTAAATTTGCCTCAAGGGCCCAAGACACTACCTGGAAGAAAAGAGACTGAGATTCCAATTCTTTTTTCACATTGCTCAACATTAACCAAGTCCTCTGTGGAAGACTGAGAAGGTTCTACTAGAGATCCACCAGCAGGAAAGAACACGAGGGGTCCCAAGAGGGAACCCTCTGTGAGGAAAGTGGCCGCTCAAATGACCAGGCTCAATGCCAAGGCCTGACGGTTTAAGAGGCTAAAGCTGGACGTGGCCCTGGCTCAGGCCCCCTCGCACCAGTCACTCTTGGGGACTGTGCCCGAGCCCGTGTGAACTAAGGGTTTGGAAAGCCCAAGTGTCTGTCACCAATGGTGGCCTAGACGAGAATCCCCGCAGGCCTGGAAACCCACCCGTTAGACTTGCAGGACAGAGTTTCTGCAGCTACACCCCCAAACAAGGACAGAAGCGAGCTGCGACACTCAGACGGAAGGGCTGGACTTGTTGCAAGGACGGGCGAGCGAGTCCTGAAGTGACTGATTGCAAAAACAGATGATATCATTTCTCCCCTGCAGTCAGGTCCTGTATCTGCGCGGCCTAACGTTACATAGTTTACACTGCCGGGCTTGCGTGCCCGATTCGTCCTCGGGGAACAGAGAGAAACGTCTGCAGCCCCGTGCTGAATATGGGCCCCACACAGTCCTGTGGCGGGCACAGTGGTGTTACCCTCTCAACTGACTGCGGGCACGCGAGAAAGGAAGGGGATGAAATTATTCTTAGGTTCAGGAAAACACTTTCACAAGCCTTTCTGGCTATGAAATGTCAGGGCCACCCCTGTCACCCCCAGGCCCCAGGGATAACCTAACGAGGGAAGCTTTGATCAAGAAGTTCAGCTGCCCTGCTTGGAGAGGTCATGGGAATGTGGGAGCTGGCTGGCTGCTGACACAGAGGACGGGGTCTGGGAGTCTGGAAGAGGGGGTGAGCTCAGCCTCGCGGTGCTCATGGGGCAGAGGACTTCCCTACCGCAGAGGGCCAGGCAAAATCCAGCCCTTGGCCCTTCCTGCACCACACAGAACAAAATGGTCATCGTAAGGAAAAAAAAATTTAAGAGGTTTAATTCTCCCTATTGAAAATAAGAGACTGCTCCCCTGTGCCCTTGTCTGAGGGCATTTACGTTAGAAAACGTGTCATTTTACCTTCTTTCTCTGTCTCTTTGAAATGTGTGTAAATCTTTTTAGAAGCTAAACAAGCCTCTAGTCAGCTTTATGATCCAGGAATGTCTTTCCCAAGGGCCTGGGATCCACCCCTTTGAAATGTCAACATCAAAGGAGATCGCATCCCTCTCTCCTGGCTTCTGTGGGAGGCTAGAAGCCTAACCTGGGTGGGCTCCGTGCTCCAAGAGGCAAAACCGCCTCCGATCGTAAAGATACAAGAACTTTGTGTTTCTTATGATTTCGCCTAGTAATAATACAGACGGTCATCAATTACCAGGTAAAGTTAGGATGAACGGTGTGTGGCAAAAGGTGCCATCAAGCCTCTTGAGGGCTGGTTACTGTTTACCTTGAGAGCGTGTGTGTAATGGGCTGCACCCGTTTGGCTTATATGGCTGCGGAAGATTTCTTTCTGTCTTTGCGGTCTCTTAGCGGGTTGCCAGGGAGGCACATCACATTCTGGTTTAATGCTTCTTCAAAAAGAAAACTGTTTCTTTCTCTGCTACTTTTTGTGGAGAGGTTTTTCAGGGCTGGGAATTTTTGTTTTTAATTATATTCCCCCAACATAACGCAAGTGCTTAACAAGAAAAAAGAAAAGAAGTGGGAGGAAGGTTCTAGAGGAGTAAGACCCCTAGTGGGAGTCTGGGGTCTTTGGAGGGACCTGGAGAAACTGTGTGTGGTGGCGGAAGGCAGAGGAATTTCTAGGAGGGGTGCAGACATTCAAGTGGAAATTGTTTACCATCTGTAAATAACAGACTAATAGCAGATAAAACATACTGGCATCATCTAAGTATTTTAAATATATTAACTCACTTAGCATATGCGCCAACTGGGATTATTCTCGATTATTCATTCCTCCTCTGCCATGTGACCCTGCAGTGCACTAGACAGGACAGAAAATGTGTCACAAAACAGCAGGGAAGCAGGTTGAAGGATGGACTGATTTGGGCAGTAGGTCTGAAACAAACTCTCTTATAGGCAAAAATGACCTTTTGGGGTCTCCGTGGGAAAGGTCAGGTCCAGCTACTACACAGGATGGGAATGTGAGCCATTTCATTGGGTGACCCCCAAAACTGGAGGAACTGGGAGTCGGCCAATGGCAGAGACACCCAGTCCTGAGCACAGAGGATGTAGGGAGGAGTGGGCCTAGAAATAAGAGAGGGAATGGCACCCTAGTAAGAACCAGATACTTCTGTGAGGTTGGAAGACTGTCACGTGGGTCTAGAAGTCCTCTTGTCCCCAATAACCAACACACCAAATCATTTTGAGGGTCAGGCTCAAGAAAGCAGATTTACCTTGCCCTGCCCTGGCCCAGGCCACCAGACATACCCTGGGAACCAAATGTTTACAGTGACCTGGAGCAGGATCTAGACAGGGACCTGCAGGAGGCCTCAGATTCCTGGGCAGGGGGGGGCGGATATGGGTGACAAAACCTGAGTCCTGAATCATCCTCCTAGTGCTTACAAAGTCCCTAACCAGCACTGGCCCCTAGTTTCCTGCCCTCAGAGCCACGCAGGAAATAGCTGGGGGGAGGGGGGAACTAAGGACAACAGGGCTGATGAAAGAAGTGGAACTTAAGGCCTAATAAAAGCTGCTTACATACAATTTTTTAGGAGAAAACTATTCTGATGGGGAAGAACGCATCAGGGTCAGTCAGATGAGGACAAATACAAATTAATCTGGAACAGACTGCAGGGTAAGGGGCTGCGTTCACCTGGCAAGGACAAAGGTCATGGGAAGCACCCTTGTATGCTGGGTTCCTACCTGACTCCATAGGGCACCCTAACACCTGAGTCCCTAACATTTTCTGCTCCCACTGAACGTCAGACAAAAGGAGCTTTCGCTGCCCTGCCTGTTAGGCCTCTCCCTGTTTCCGGTGTATCTAGGGTCCCAAAGCCAGGACGTGTGAAACTGGGCTTCGGACAGAGGCGAGCAGGCCTTTGAGCTGCTACTTTTCCAGGTTCTGCGGAACCCCCGTCATTTCCCGCAGGACTGGGCTCCAGTGCGGTAGAAATCGGGAACCGGAAGCCTACGGGGCGGGGGGAATGCGGGTGGGTCCATGGGAGCCCAGCACTGCCTCCCAGGCCAGCCTTGCCAGGTGCGGACCCAGAGAAGGGGCGACTTCCTCCTCCTTTGGAAGACCCACTCACCCTCTCTTCCTCCTGCTTTCCCAAAGGCCTGGATCCTCATCCTGGCTCCCTCCAACCCCGAGGCACCGGGGCCCACGACCCCCGCCCCCCAAACCCCAGGCGGGGGGCGTCCAGAGAAGCCCGGGTGCCTCCATCCTCTCGGCCCCGCGCAGGCCCCGACCCCTCTATCTTCCCGCAGCTACGCCCCACCCGGGGCAAGGCCCTGCCCCACAGCCAGCCCCACCGCCACAGGTTCGGGCTAGTCTGGGGCGGGGACTGGGGAGCGCCCGGAAGTCGTGAGAAGGGCGGGGACGCAGACCATCTTTAAAGGCCCGCAACCACCCGAAGGTGCCTCGACAGCCGCCGGCGGCCCCGGACGATCCCCACCGGCACGCAGCACCCGGCTCCCGCGCCCGAGCTGCCGGGGCGCCATGGGCCGCTACCGCATCCGCGTGGCCACCGGGGCCTGGCTCTTCTCGGGGTCGCACAACAGCGTGCAGCTGTGGCTGGTCGGGGCGTGCGGGGAGGCGGAGCTGCAGCTGCAGCTGCGGCCGGCGCGGGGCCAGGTCAGCGGCCCGGATCGGGGACCCCCGCCCTCGGTCCGGCCTGGGCTCGCGGCGGGAGGGCGGCGGGGTCGCGGGCGGCCGGCGGACGAGGGACACAGCGCGACCGCGCCGCCGGGGATTTGCGGGGGCGGGGAGAGGACCCGGAGCCAGGGCCCGGCCTGGCCCCCAGCCCCTCCTCCCTTCCAACCTGGTCCTCGCAGCCTCCACCGCTTCCCTAAGTGACCCCAGGGCCAGTGTCAGTGCGGGGTCAGCGGTCCGGCCAGGGGCTGCTCAGAGGGTGCGGGCGCGGGGACAGCTCCGGGACGGACCGAGGTCGGGGACGTCGTGCCCCGCGCTCCCTCGTCTTCCCCAGGCCCCGCGGCTCAGGTGCCCGGAGCAGGGAACAGGTGTCTCTGGAGGCCTTGGGCAGCGGAGGCTCCGCAAAGGCGCCCCCAACTCGAACTAAAACGGCCTCTCCTGGGTCCCTGCTGCTAAGTGTCGCGGGTTGTGGTCCCCACAGGAGGAGGAATTTGATCGCGACGTTCCCAAGGACTTGGGGCCCCTGCAGTTCGTGAAGCTGCGCAAACACCACTCCCTGGTGGACGACGCGTGGTTCTGCGACCTCATCACAGTGCGGGGCCCGGGTGCCTGCGAGGAGGCCGCCTTCCCCTGCTACCGCTGGGTGCAGGGCCAGGGCGTGCTGAGCCTGCCCGAGGGCACCGGTGAGGGCTGGGGGGGGGTGGGGGGGCGGGGACGCGGGGGTGGCGACCGGGCAACCGCGGGTGGAGTGGGGGTCCGGGCTGGGGAAAGTGGGTTTTGGGCAGATGAGGACAAGACAGGGATCGGGGCAACGTTCTACAGTCCCGAAGTTACACCCAGGATAAAGGGCTCCAGGGAGCCTGGAAGGGAAGCACGGGATCTGCAGCCGCCCCCTTTCAAGGAGGGGACGGGCCTGGGGGTCACAGCAATGATGGAAAATGGGAGATCAAAGAGACTGGAAAGGAGATCTGTGGCCGCACAAGTGAGGGCGGGGACTGTAAGGGCTGCACGTGCAGCAGGAGATGGGGACCCCTGAGCAGGTGGCAGCGAAGGAGGAGGATAAACGGTATGAGCCACGAGCCCGAGAGCCGGTCTGGTTGGGAAAGCGTGAAAGACGACCGTGAGGGCCGGGGAGCACCCCAACAGCGGGGTGTGGACGAAGGAGGGCAGACAATACAGAATTTGTTACCATGGGAAACAAGAGATGAATCCAGAGACAAACGAGGGCAAGGACAGTAAGGATGGAAATGTGGAAGATACGACTTTGACCCAAGCAAGTATGGGCACAGAGAAGAGCAGGAACACGTCCACAAGGATGGCCTCTGATGGGAAGTCTAAGGAAGGTGAGCCCAGGGAAAGACGGCAAACACAGCTGTTCCTCAGCAGCTTTTGAGGACAGTGGAAGGTGTAACAGGTGAGGTTCAAGACGTGAAATTAAGCGAAGCAATATGTGGTACAAATAGGTGTGGTCACATGGGTGAATAAGATTTTATCAGCTTAATGAAGGTGATTAATCCAACCACAGCTATTGATGGAATCGGATCAGGTAGGGAAGGACAAATTAGGGAACGAGAAAGGGTGACAAGTGGGGTTTTTGTCTCAAGGCAAGGGATGAGAGCTGAGCTGAGTGAAACCAGGAGTGCCAAGCTGGCAAAGGTGGGATGCGTGTGTCTGGGCAATCGATGGCGTGAGGCACAGCGAGAGCAAGAGAGCAGGACTGAGCACTCGGGCTCTGAGCAGGAGAAGAAGGAAGAGGACACGCAGGGGAGAGCACAGGAGCACACAAAGCTGTGCGGTCAATCGTCTTAATGTCCCCCCAGCACGCCTTGCAGGAGACAATGCCCTGGACGTGTTCCAGAAGCATCGAGAGAAAGAACTGAAGGAAAGACAAGAGCTGTACTGGTGAGCACTGGCCCGCGAGCCCCCCAGCAGTCCCCCCTTCCCTGGCCCCGCCCCCCTCGCCGACCTACACACCCTCCCTGAAGCCTGGTCCCCATCTCCTAGCTGGGACACCTGGAAGGAGGGGTTACCCCTGACCATAGCTGCCGGGTGTCAGGACGATCTGCCTCCAAACATGAGATTCCATGAGGACAAGAGGCTGGACTTCGAGTGGGCACTGAAGGCGGGGTGAGGAAAAGCCAGGGGCTCAGAGCGGATGAGGGCCGGGAGGTCCAAGAACGGTGGTGATGAGTGAGGCGCTGAGGGGTCAGCGACTGGGTCACGTCTCCACGCTTGTCCTAGGGCGCTAGAGATGGTCCTCAAACGTGTTTACACCCTCCTGAGCTCCTGGAATCGCCCGGAGGATTTTGATCAGATCTTCTGGGGCCAGAAGAGCGCCCTGGCTGGTCAGTGGTTCCCCCAGGTCCCTATACATTCCCGAGGGCCCCTCTGGACAACCCGACCTTCACACCCCAGAGTCCCCCACGACTCCTTCCCGGCTGAGGCCTTAGGAGGCCTGATCATCTCACAGCGGCCTCCAGAATGCAAAGCCAGGGTCTGGAGACAGGGCGCTTGTGTGTCAGAACCGCTGGGGGGGGGGGCCTGGAGGAGAGGGACCTCCAGGTGCTGGTAAATGCCCACTCCTACATTCCACCTGACCCCACAGAGAAGGTCCACCAGTGCTGGCGGGACGATGAGCTTTTTGGCTACCAGTTCCTCAATGGCGCCAACCCCATGCTGTTGAGACGCTCCACCTCTCTGCCCTGCCGGCTCGTGCTGCCCCCCGGGCTGGAGGCACTGGGGGCCCAGCTGGAGAGAGAGCTCCAGGTACTTCCTCCCACCCTGCGTGGTTCCCCTTGGCTGTGTGGGGAGGGACCAAAGATGAGTCAGGGGAAGGGAGGCTGTGGTCACCCACTGTGCCTGGCTGCAGAGTCCCGTGCTGGAAAAACCTACGGATGACAGAGCGCGTAGGGGAAACTCTGAGGAGCTCCCAGGATGCAGGGCAACGGGAGGAGTTCCCAGCGCCCAGATGGGGCCAGCGACATCAGCAGGGACAATGACGTTCGCTGGCTGCTGTGTACTCCCAGCACCAGCATCCTGGGCAGGGCGAAAGGAGAAGGAGGCGCCATCAGGGGTGGAGAGCGGGGAGGTCTCCTAGGTTCGGAAGAGAGAAGCCAGGTGTGAGCGCACGCAGGTGTGTGCTGGGTTCGGGGGCAGCAGTAGTGAGGGGC